TTGTCTCTTAATTCGATTGAAAGGCCTATAACCATCCAACTCTTCAGTTAATGCTGCTTGTATCATGCAGCTTATTATCACCAATGCCCAAAGAGCGATTAAACCAACCACTTGAATGGTCTTCTGCATTGTCGTTTGTTGCTGTTCGACGCTGATGAGAGAATAGTAGATAAATATGAGCAAATATGTAAATGGTATGCTCTTGCAGTAATGGTTCGGCTTTATAATACGAATATTGAGAGGGAATGAGATGAATATCGACGCACACGTTTTTTTATATCTAATTGGCAATGAGTAGAAATTCCCCACCTACCGATGGGGATTTCCCACCTATTGATAGGAATGCGCACACTTAGCAGTCCAAATTCTGCGCTTTTCGGTAAGAATTCCCCACCTATCTATGGGAGTTCCCCATCTATTGATGGGAATTTTCGATCTATTGATGGGAATTTTCGATCTATCTATTATGTTCTCCTGTTGTTAGAAGAAACTTAAGGGCAAATGTGAGGTCGTTTGAGGACAAACATAACTTTTATTTCAAAAAAGATGATCTGACTAGTCAAGTGTATATCACCTATATATATATAAGTATCATCAGGTATAACAAGAAAAAAAGAAACGATAGAAAGAAAAAGAAAAGAAAAAAAAAATGACCATATAGATGTCGGATATAACACCCTTCTCGGACAAGGAAAAAAAGTTTTTGTTTACAAAACGCTTTTCTTTTTTTTAAAACATAATAACATAACTGTAAATGCATCAAATGAAAGAGAAAAAGAAAAAAAACAGTAGGAACAAATGTTCATATAATATCATGAAGCAAATATAAAACATCAAGAAAAAAAATACACTATAGAGAAAAAATCTGACAATAATAAAAATAAACAACAATAGAAAGAGAAAAAAATATATGTTTACTATTGTTGTTTACTCTTGTATATCATTTGATCTTCTTGATAAATATTGAGCTTGACGACGAAACAAGTAATAATGACGTCGATCAAGTATATCACCGGATAATCTTCGTTCATTTTGTTATTCAATTATTGTCTTTTACACCAATAAGTAATAAATCATCAACTGATTTGACATGAATATAATAAATATTGTATTCAGCAGGAATATGTCGAACTAATTTCATTGTAAATCTGTAGTAGAATGAACGAGTGATAAAATATCTATAATGTTGCATTCGGAAATAAAGATTTCTTTTTCGATTTCGTCGTTTTCGAGCTTCAGCTGATCGTGTTCGACTATGTAATTGACGTTTCTTGGTTAAAGATTGTTGTTGTTGTTGTTGTTCATAATCACTGACATCATCAACCATATCATGGTTGTTGACACATAAAACATTATCATTTGGTGGTAATGCTGGATTTGGTTCATTATCATCATCTAATATTGCTTCATATAATGATTCATTATTATTTGGTAGTAATGCTTTATTTAATTCATTATCATCATTTGATATTTCTTCATATAACATATCATTATTAATAGTAATTTTAATACATTGATTAACTGTTATTTCATCATCATCATCATCGGAGATTAATTCAATATCATCATTAATATTCTTAATTATTTGTTGATTAATATTTGTATTTCTTGGGTTGTTATTCGCTCGTGATGATGATGGTAATGCCTGAAATGAATCAAGAATATGAATTTTTGTTACCTGTTGAAATGTCCAATATAATGTAACAAGTCGAATGAAATACGTTGCTGCAAAACAATCATATATTGCGTAATGTATCATTTTATTTCTTTTTGATGTTGATAAGGTTGAGTACATTGGATCTAATTCCATTGCCCATTCATTAACAGTAATTGACTTGTCAATAAATATTCCATATGTATAAATTAAAGCTTGTTGTAATGCTTATGGTTCATTAGGACGATAAGGACTTGGTTTATGACAAGTACATTTTGATAATAAATTCATTTGTTCATCAGAATTAATAGCATTAATAATAGCATTACGACGATTTGACAGGCTACACATCTCACAATGAGATAGTGCCCAACTGTACCAATCTGCAAATTTAAGTTGAAGATTAACCACTGATGTTTTAATTGGCCATTCAAACCATTGATAAACAATAGCTGGATAAATTTCCTTACGTAATGGTTCCCAAAAATATATGTTATTTCTAAATTTAAAAATTAATTCAAATAATTGTTTAATTTGTAAATGAATTAATAAACGAATTGGTGATAAATGTGCAAGTTCTACTAATATAACAAAAAATGGTAATTGTTGAGGTATTGTTTGAATTTGAATTAATGCTAATTGTTTGGTTGATTTTTCACCTTCAGTATCAAATGTAAATTCATTACAATTTCGTACATCATTAATTAATTTTTGCATCGTTTCAGTTGTTGTAGATTTATTTACATATATAATTTCATAAAATGATGTTGGTATATCAAATGCTGGATGTTGTTGTTGATATTGATAAATTTTCTTCGCCTTTTTTTTGCAGCACGTATCCAATTCGATTTTTAATTGTCATCAAGATGAGCTGGAGGATTGTTGACATCACGTAAATGATATGAAACAAATTTATCTGACATTATAATGACTAAAGAAAAGAAGATTTAACAAACTGATATAAAATAAGTGAAGAGAAAAAAGAATAATATAAATAAGGTAAAAAAATAAATAATATAATTTATCATTCATTCTGAGGAATAAACCTATCAAGATTGCATACATAGATATCGTTAGTATATTAATAAAATATGTAATATTTGTAAAGTTAAAACATAAATAACTTTGTTTGTTGAAAACAGAAACACTTCTGAAAGAGAAGATTTCCTGTGTGTAATTTGTTTGTATTTATAATAACCAATATTTGTTAATGTTAACCATATGCAAATAATAATTATATTGATAATTAATGCGCGCTAATTAAAATATTAATATTTTCACATGCGTAACGAATCGATGTTAGTTCAACTTAGTTGTTGTGCATACAACAAAGATGATCAAACATTGAATCACCATACATATAACATAACATTAACATTTAATGATTATTAGCAAATAACTAAACAATAATATATCATATTGATTTTAAAATAAGAATAGATCGAATATCATTAACATGTACTCTGGATTCGACCTGTGTTTTTTCATCTTTGACCCAATCAATTGGATGTTGTTTCCTAAGAATTATTTTTGGTATAATCGAATATTTTTGTTCTAATTTTTTCTTTATTCCATGAATTTTAATCAGTACTGGATCATTGATTTCATAATGTGGATCTGGATGTTGTTTATCATAATTAATCTTGTATTGTCGTTGTCGATGAATAATATTATCACTTGTGTGTTGTTGTATTATCAACAGATTTTTTTTCAATTGTACATAATAATCATTTGGTTTATTGAAAGTAAATGATGATGAAGGTTTATCAGTAGGCAAACGCGGTTCTCGACCAAACTTTAGTTGAAATGGTGAATAATTAGTCGTTGCATGGATGCTGGTGTTGTAAGCAAATACCACTGGCGATAAGAATTCATCCCAATTGTTATTTTCTAGATCTTGAAGTTTGGCAATTTGAGGAACGAATGTCGCATTGAAACGTTCAATCATTTCATTACTTTGTGGGTGATAAACGCTTGAAAAAATATGATTGTAACCAATTAATTTTGCTATGGATTCCATAAGTTAATTTTTAAAATGAGTACCTTGATCAGATAATATAGCTAATGGTACACCATATTGACAAATATAATTATTGAATAATGTTTGAGCCGTGGTTTGTGCTGAACAATCAGGTAAAGCTATTGCAGTC